CTTGTGTGATCATTGATTTAAATTTTCCTTTGCTTTTGTAAAAAAAAAAGATCATTGATTTAAATTCAAGTGCACACTCTCTATTGTTGTTTCTCATTGAAAATTAATCAATGTTGTTGTATAAGTTTCAATTGTTGCATAAAGACCCACAATGATGAATAGCATATTTAAAACTTAGCCAAAGAAATATGATTTCATATTGATTAAGAGTTCTAAAATATTGATTTTGGAACATAATGATTATGCAAGTAATAAAGATGATTTGACAAGTTATAACTCCAAGTGGTTTAAAAACCATGGAAATCTGAAATAGATACTAAGTCTGTAAGCAAGTGTATGAAAATTGATTAATTTGCCTAATTGAGTAAGACCCATTATAGGCAAAACAGACAAGAAAGAAAAATGTTTTCTAAGCAAAGCAAAGGCTTTTTGTTAGAGGATTTAACGAATTCATAGTATTACTATGATGAAACCTTTACATTAGTCATGTTGCCAAGATCTATTAAAGATATTTTAGTGATTTCTACCTCATGAGATTTGGTGGATGGATTTTGAAAACGCTTTCTTGAAATGATTCATGAAAGAAGATTAGTATATGATACAATCAGAATGATGAATTTAAAAATCCAATAATCCTAAGGATACGTAAGAGGTCCATTTATGGATCAAGTAAGCATCATGGAGTTAGAATCTTCAATTTAATGAGTTAATCAAGTTAGTTGATATTCTCATAAATGAAGGTCTTGTGATGTTTAGTTGGAGCTATATAGTCTTCTTGGTCTAGTACAAAGAGCGATTATTCCATGCTTGAAGGGTCAAGTGATGGCTAATGCATATTGTATGAAAAACCTTGAAGAGGAAGATGAGTACATTTGGGGTTCAAGATCTATAGAGATAGGTTTCGAAGGATGTTTGAGCTTAGTTAAGAAACTTATATTGATAAGATTCTTATGAGCTGAGATTCAACATTATATTGAAAGAAGTTTCAATCCCATATAACATGACACATTTCTTAACAAGATTCAATGCTTTGAGAAAGGTTGATGAAAGTAAGGTTTTGAGTGATGCTCCTTGTGCATATTGCAAAGGATGCATCATGCATGTCATGGGCTATACTCGTCTATTTGATTCACATGTTTTGAGAATATGTGGTGATAGCTTTCAATCGGAAACCAATGTAACATTGGAATACAATTTAGAAAATCCTAAAATCCTTGCGGGAGGATGAAGGAAGATTCTTAGTGTATGGAGATGAATATTATCGTAAAAATTTAGAATTTACAAAATTCATGTTTATGAGAATATCTCATGAATTGTATTAACTAAATTATTTTTTTAGCCTAAAGACACAGAAGAATTATCTGAAATAACATGATAGTGGATGGTTTTGATTGTGTGTTAGGGAGTCACAATTGCAAAATCACCAGTCATGTTTCCCTATGTTTATCAACTGAAACAAAGTTCCAATCTTATTTAATCATGGTTTAATATTAAATAAAATGTCCAAAATAATTATGAATTGTTGGGATCATTAAATACGTGATTTGGTGAATGAAACCCCATAAATTCATAAATTATTTTAAGTTCCCAGTTCGAAATCATTAAATCGGACATAAATTATTTCAATAAATGGACTGACATGTAAGATTGATTGGATAGCGCAGTTTCATGGGCTATAGGGGCATAGAGATGCTTGGTCAATCACAGAGATATGCATGAATGATGCATGATCGAACTGTTGACGTACTTTGAAGTTCAAGTATCGAGCTTCCGGATATATTAGTGGATTCTTTTGACATGAGTGGAACACTGATTTCATTCAATGATTGATTTAACTGTGGTACACCCAAACGTCATTCTGTAAAAGGGGACTATAAAAGGTGTTTCCTGGTTACTTCAGGTAGAAGTAGGCCAAGCCTCGAGCTCTGGGGCTTTAAGGGATAGGGCAGGTTTGGAACCCTACCCCAGACCTGGTTGGAAAGGAACTATATCCTTAATCCAGGTTAGACTATCACATACGAGACTCGTCTGGGCTCTCATTGAGACCCACTCACTTCTCTCTCCTTAACATCTAATACCATTGCCCTGCCACTCTGCCTGTTTACTTGTGGCCGAGTCGGGGCATTCTTCACTCCTGTTACAAGGTAGCCGTAGAGGCTTCCCATACTCACCTTCCACTTAGTTCCACTTCTGGAGCGAAGCTGAGCACTCGGGGCATAAGGGCCCCGCGGTGATTATTAACATGCGCTTTCTTTTTTTTCTTGTCATTTTTGTTCAGTTTTTACTTTTCATCCTAACTTTTATTATTTCCTTTATTTATTGTGAATATTATATCGCTTACTTAGTTTCAAATGAAAGTGATTGTACTTTTTGTAATTTTTCGATTCCTATTTAATCTTTTCTCATGCTAAGATATAATCAAAATTTACTTTTTTTAGTAGCCTTTTTTTTCCTAGTGTGATCATTGATTTAAATTTTGTTTTCTCATATTTTTATCTTGATCTGGGTTGCCTTTTTTACTCCTTTTTTTTATATGGTAGGTTAATCAACCCCAACATGAGGATCGAACCTCGCACCTCAAGGATGGGAGGCGACCTCTTGTACCACTGCATCAAGATGTCTCCCTCCTTTTTTCTTGTTCATTTGGTATGTGATAAGTGATGACTTATAAATTGGTTGTATTTTATATGCGTATGATGTGACATAACTGACAACTCCCTCTGTTTATACAAATTCTTCCCATTTAAATCTTGGTACTATACATAAAATGAGTGCATTTTTTTTTTTTTGATAAAATAAATGAGTGCATTCTAAATTACTCTTTGCACATAGTATAAATGTTGAGATCATTTGATTCATCTTAATAAGTAGATTTTAAATTTATACGAAATATTTTTCTTTTACTAATTATATATATGCAACTAAATAAATTTATGTCAAAGTAATGTATTGAAAGTGTACAGTCAAAATAAAAAGAAATTTTAAGAATAGGTGTAATAAATAAATAATAATTAGATGCCTACCTAAATAGCAACATCTTTTTTCTGATCCTAAATTCTTTTTATCACTAACCAGTCATTTTTTTTTGGAAACCTATCAATAACAAGTCATTTACTTATTTTAATCAATATTGTTTTTGTACAAAATTTTATATTGAGTAGTATTTACTTATTTTCAGAGTGAGTTTTATCATGTTTATTTATCTTTACTTTTATCAGGAAGAAAATCATTTTTGTACATTAATTATGAAGTGATTTTAAAGGGATACATCTTTCAAAAAAAGTAAAGATTAATATTGTCACCTTTATAATTATTTACAAATAACTTTAAATGGTAATTTTTTTGTAAATAGCCAATTTATAAGTAAAGAATTATGTAGAAAGTAGAATGTTCGATACAATTATTTGAAACAACACGACTTTTTGAGGTTTCCAAGACACGGCTTACACTAATTTTAATTTTCATTTTAATACGTATAAAATTATAAAAACTACATAGTAATAAAATATATAATAAGACAAAATTAATAAGATCTCACCTAACATAATTATATATTATGGATTAAGAATATTTTATGGTCAAGGATTATAAAGTTTAACCCATACTTTTACAATGGGTCAAAAAAACAATGACAAAGGGAGTATGTAATATCATCTTACTTTTTCTTACTTTTGCATCAAAAAATCTTAGGCCCTATTCACTTCAACTTAAAAAAATAATATTAAGCAAAAATAATTTCAGTTCAGTAAAATAAGGTCAGTTAAGTAAAATTCAGTAACTATAAAAAAGAAATATAATAGAAAATTAATAATAATAATTTCAGTTCAATAAAAATAATTTCAGTTCAGTAAAATTAATTTCAGTTCAGTAAAAATAATTTAAGTTCAGTAAAAATAATTTAAATTCAGAAAAATAATTTCAATTCAGTAAAAATAATTTCAATTCAGTAAAAATAATTTCAATTCAGCAAAAATAAGGTGAAGTGAACGAGACCTTACTCTTTCTTACCGCTACATAAATACATATACACACATAATCTAAGCAACCTATTCTTACCATCCCACCTGTTTACTTTATCCTTCTTTTCTTACACCAAATACGACCAAATTAAAGGCAAGGAGTAAAAGTTTTTATCTCTCACCAAATACTACCAAAATCAACCATTCTTTCAATTTTTGCTCCATGTTAAAAATTTTACGGTTACTGAATTCATTTATTGTTACTATGATGTCTCCAACTTATACTTTTAAAATTTACCATACATATTTTTGATAGAACGTAATATCAATCATGATGTGCTTAGTGTAAAAACCATAAGTTTAAATTTTGGTTGAGTTGGTCTTAAATTACAATATAATATCAAGTGTTAACATAACAAAAAGTCTTTGATTTTTATTTTTAAATGAATTTTCTTGCTTAATTTTTATAAAATTGGTAAGGAGGAATCCTAATTATACCTCAACGAACCCTTATGGTATTTTTTAGTCTATTATTTACGGATCATGTCTTAAAAATAAATATAAGGTAAGAACTTTATCAAGTGAGTCAACACTTTGTTGGTGAATAAAAGTTCTAATAACAGATTAATATTAAAATTGTATATTACAATGCAAAATTGTATTCACCTTTAAAATTACTTAGCATAATACAAATATTCAATGAGGATCAAGGAGTGAAGGGATGGTTTGTCCCTCCATCTCCAGTAGGAGTGACCTAGGTTCAATCCTCACCTCACCCCTCCCATGATAGGAGGGGCACACCCCGATATCTTACCGTGTAAAAAAAAAATACAGATATTCAATAAAATACCAATGAAGTATTTAGTCGCTTTTCATTTCTCTACCTACCAAGATTACATTTTTTTTTTTTTTTTGGGCAATAACATATCATCACGACAAAATCTGGTTTACTATTGACCCTTGTGAAGCAATACTCGTATTAATTTCAAAGTGTGGCCCCAACTTTGGGACGTAAACTATCTATAAATAGAGTTTAGTTCACTCCATAGCTTTATAATCTCAAACAATTTTACTTGCAATTTCAAAGATGGCATCCTCAATATTAATGCCCTTTGTTGTTTTTTGCCTTGTTTTTGCTTCTTTTCTTTTTATTTCTTCCGAGGTTTCTGCTCGTGAGCTAGCTGAAACTACTACTGAAAAAACTCGTAAGTTGTTGTCTTTCACTTATCTTTATAGTTATATCTAAAAAAAAAAACATTAGATGTTCCTATCTTTGTTTGGATTTAATGATCTCATTATTTAAAAATTGGATTACTCTAAAAACTTTATTAAAAGACGGAGGAGTCATTTCGTATGCAAATAATATCATCCGTATTTATGTGCAATAAACTGGCTAGTGTACTAAAGTAACTAGATCATCATTTTAATATATTATTATGTCTTTATTATTTTTTTTTATTAATATGCAATATATCATTCATGTATCCCTCTTCCTGAAATTCATGTTGTGTGACGAATTAATAATGTGTGCAAAAATTACTCTTATGTAAATATTAAATTTAAGCATCAAGCATGTATTGATTTGTGTTTTTAGATGTTTCTTATTAATATCATGCATGCGCACAGAAGTAAAATCTACGGATGGGTATCATGGAGGACACGGTCATGGTCATGGCCACGGTCACGGGCCTATAGAAGATGAGAAAGAAGCTAACACTGAAGGTTATGGTTATCACCATGGTCATGACCACGGTCATGGTCATGGCCATGGCCATGGTCTCCAAGGGAAGGAAGAAGTTAACCCTGAAGGTTATGGTCACGGTCACGGTCATGGCCACGGACATGGTCACGGTCATGGTCTCTTAGAGAGTGAAGAAGTTAACCCTGAAGGTTATGGTCATGGTCACGGCCATGGACATGGACATGGTCACGGTCATGGTCTTTCAGAGAGTGAAGAAGTTAACCCTGATGGTTATGGTCATGGTCACGGCCACGGACATGGTCACGGCCATGGTCTCTTAGAGAATGATGAAGTTAACCCTGAAGGTTATGGATATCACCATGGTCATGGGCATGGCCACGGTCACGGACATGGTCTCCTAGAGAAGGAAGAGGTTAACCCTGAAGGTTATGGATATCATCATGGTCATGGTCACGGTCACGGTCATGGACTCTCAGAGAAGGATGATGTTAACCCCGAAGGTTATGGTCACGGTCATGGCCATGGGCACGGTCATGGTCCACTAGAGAAGGATGAGGTTAACCCTGAAGGCTACGGATATCATGGTCATGGTCATGGTCATGGACATGGTCACTATCAGCCAAAGAAAGTGGAGAGTAATGTGAACCCAGAGGGCTATGGTTATGGCCATGGAGGTTATGGTTACGGTCATGGAGGTCACGGTCATGGTCATGGCGGCCACTATCCACCAAAGGAACAAGTTAATAACTAAATTTATTAATGTTCACTGCCTAATCATGCAATTTGATATCCGTTTGGTAGGTGTTGTGCTTTATGCTGGAAAGCATGCAACATTGTATTAGTTGCTATGAAAATAATGCGAGTATAAGTTTTTAATTCTGTAACATCCTTAAATTTTAGCATGAAAGGGAAGAAATGAAGGCAACTAGATACATTTGGTGTCTTAGCTTGGTGATGAAGTGACGCTTCTTAATTATGTTTTCAGTTGTGTATGTGTTATGTTTGTTGAATAAATTTTAAGTATTTCAGCTCATTGTATCCCCTATATATGCTCTATTAGTGTACGCCAAACACTCTCATTCATGTATGGTCTTATATTGTTCTTGCTACTCTGTCTACCTACTTTCTCACTCCACTTAGTCAAAAGTTATTTTTTTAATCACTTTTCAACTTTCCTTCAATCTTTTATAGTCTTCATCTCATGTTTGCTTCATTGATGACAAAAATATTCACGATATAATATCAACGTACGAACAAGGACAACAACAAAGCAATACTTGATTTGTTCCAGTAATTACAAAAGGTGTTCGTGTTGTAAAATAGTTGTCTAAAACAATAGCCAACAAAAAGAACAAGAGGTAAAATAGGAAAGGAAGTTCGGTGTGGCGTGATAAATCACTGCCTTTGAAAACGAATTCCGGCGCAACCGGGATGCTCAATAGTATTCGTTGGATCGTCCCCTAAGGTTATACACCACTCTCACGCTAAGACACTTTAGAGTGAGAGGTGGAGTCTATGGAAACTTATGCCCAAAGAAATGGAAGTGTGTTTAGCTTAATGTGTTTTGCTTCTTGTGTTTGATATATTTTTCTCAAGTATATGTAATCAGAAAATCAACCTTCAATATATAAAGAAGAAAGGAGGAAGATGGAAGATCATGGAGAAGTCAAAGGGATGAAAAATCAGGAAAAGTTTGGTGAGTTAATCACAATAAAACACCTCTTAAGTGGGGGGTTACAAGAACTCAAACCAAAAGAAGAATCCAAGGAAACCGTTGGAGTCCAACGCCCGGTCGAGCGCCCGGTCGGGCGCCCGGTACAGCGATGAAACTCCAAATTTCACGATTGCTCTCGCGCCCGGTCGGGCGTTAGACTACCTTGAATTTCCTTCCTTTATTCCAACAGTCCCCCACTAAAGAAAGGGAAGATAAGCCAACAAAAGATGAGAATGAGCAACATATTGGGCATAAGAGGAGTCTAATACGTAACACTTAGATATTACATAAGTAATTTAAAATTTAAGTGCTTAGTGAAATGAGGCAATGAGCTACAAGTACAAGGGTGGATAGAACCTTGAAACCCTTACACTACTACAAAATATGGATAAAAAACCAGTGATAACAAACCACATTTATTAGATAAGAGGTTTCTTAATAAAAGAAACCTATTTTCCCAAATAAGGGGTCTCTTATACATATATTTAAGAAACCCCTTTCAAGGAAAAGTGGTTCCTTATTTAATTTTCTAAATTTACTCTTATTTAAGGAACCACTTTTATGAGAAGGGGTTTCTTATATTAATTTAATGTATTGTTTCTAACCCTAACTATCAAAAATAATTTTGTTACAAATAGACAATTGTTGTATCAAATCTTTCTAATACTAAAGCCCATTAGCGTTGGCGCCTTGGCGATACATTGAAATATCAAAGAAATTCAAAACCTTTAGGCGCAATTTTTTTTTTTATTCCCTCCTACTCCACTTTATTTCCAAACCCTTTAATATTTTTAAATGTAACCCTTAACAAAAGAGCTGACAAACCCTTGTTTTTTTTCTACTCTCAATTCTCCCTTCTTCAGCCACCTCTCTCAATCTCAACACCCTCTTTCTCTACTCCGATGATTAGGGATGTCACTGGGGCGGGTCTAGTAGGAGACCCGCCCCATCCCCGCCCCGATGGGGCGGGGATGGGTCTAGCTTTGGCGGGTCGCGGGGCGGGGATGGGTCTAAAATCCATACCCGCCATGGGTGATGGGGCGGGGATGGTTGTTATGTAATACCCGCCCCGCCCAGACCCGCCCCATACCCGCCCCGCCCTGCCCCGCCTGACCCACCCCGTACCCGCCCCGCCCCGCCTGACCCACTCCATACCCGACCCATACCCGCTTTATACCCACCCCATACCCGCATAAGACACGAAACCCACTTACCCAATACCCACCCTCATTCAGTCATTCACTCATTCTCAAAACAAAAACCCTAGCCTCACCTCACTGCCTCACTCTCTCCTCTCACAGTCTCAACTCTCAAGCGCTGAATCTCTTCCTCAAGCCTCAAACCCCTCTCTTCGATCCTTCTTCTTCAACCTCGTGGTCCTCGTCTGCAATCAAATCTCTTCGATCCTTCTTCTTCAACCTCGTGGTCCTCGTCTGCAATCAAATCTCTTCGATCCTTCTTCTTCAACCTCGTGGTCCTCGTCTGCAATCAAATCTCTTCGATCCTTCTTCTTCAACCTCGATCTTGCAAGGCTGCAACTCATTCAATTTAGGTAAACGTTTTCGCATTATTATCTTTGAGTTTTCTTAATTCAATATGTTCAATTAAGAATTTCTTAATTGGGTTTTCGATTGAAAGTATGTGATTCGTCTTTTATTTATGATTTGTTCGATTGCGGTTTTCAATATTTCATTTGATTGAGCTAGGGTTTCGTGTTATATTTGTATGATACTTTCAATCTAATGCAATTATTGAACTTTTTTTTTTCAATTGCCATATTGCTCATATACACCTCCTTAAATTACCATTCTAACAATTTTACATTAGTACTTTGCTATAAATTAGAACATTTGTTGCCGTTGATTTCTGTTCGGTGTGACTTTAATTTGTAATTTGGTTTGGTTCATTCTTGAAACACTCCTAATTGTTGCATTTGTGTGGTGTTGTTGTGATTGTAAGCTGAGTTTCTTGTTTCAATTCGTATGTGCTGGTCAAATTTTGATCAGAAAAAGTATTCAGAATGAGTACTTTTCATTAGTTTTCAATTTAGCTAAAAGAGTCATTAATTGGTCCTGGAAAATATGATTTTGACTGAATAATGTACAAAGATAAGAATGATTAATGGTTTAATGCTGTTTAAAGACTGCATGAATTAGGATTTGTAGCCCTTTTTGGGTTTTAATTAGTGGTTTGCTTTGATCTATATGGAGGTGATTAATTTGCTAGAACACTGATTGTTGGTGGTGAATTATTCGTTTAAGAGACGGTGAGTGAGTGGTTACCCTTTGCCCCGTTTCCCAGAAATTGTTTATTATTTTAGCTTATGTGTGATAACTAAATTCGGATTATGTCATTTGACCACTTATTCGATCATTATAGATTTAGTTACTTTTTTTTTTTTATTTAATTCATTTACTAAGATCAATCTCTGTAGTACACACTAACTTAACACACTGTTTTTTTTATTTTGTCCAAATGCCGAGAAAATGTAAGTGTTACTATTATTTTAATGTGTCTCGAATTGCTGTGTTGCTATGTTGTTTGGGTGTTCATGGTGTATTATATTGTGGTTTGAATCATATATGTGTGCGAACTAGTAGTTATCTATAATCAACAGGCTTATTCATATTTAAGTATGGTCTAGCTTATATTTGACTCCTAGATGATAATAAAATGAAGCTAAATTCTTATTTAACAATTCTTTGAATGGTTTGTGTTTGAAGACTGTAATGTGTTTTGTGTAGGATTGACATGCACTAATGCACTATAATGACTTAAGATAGTATAATCATTCAGGTCATCAGGAGGTTTCCTCCACAAGGATGTATCAAAGACCATTGGTCTGAACTTATTAAAACTCTGCTACACCCTTATCAAAGACCTTTAAGATGTCTTAATGCTGATAATTCATATAAAGATCCCTTTGTATTCAACACCCGAAAGTCCAGAACTTGATTAAGGTGTCAGTTTCAATTTATAAGATGAAAATGATTAAGGTAAGACGTAAAGTAAAATTCAAGTGATATGCTAGATTACTAAGTTTGAGTGGTTTTCTAGAGGAGAAAGAGTGAGCAGGTAAGCAATGAACAGGGCACTTGAAGATGAAAATGATTTAATGATGAATGTGATGAAAGAGATTTCTGTCTGACATTGGTATATTCTGATATCTGCTTCTATTGGATGCATCCTTTGAAATAGTATTTGTCATAATGAAAATCTTTTGGAAATTTGTAAGAATTTTTAATGAACCTAATTCTATGATTGCCATTAGAATGCAAATTAAATGGAATGTGATCAAGGTCCTTGCAAATTTGTACACATTTTCTCGGCATTAATTGTCTTTATTTAATTTTTACAGGGGAGAATTTGTCTGAGATGTCAAATAACGCTAGTGTTCCCACTTCCGCTAGTAATACTCCAATTGCAATAGATGATGATGAAAGTCCTCTAGAGACTAATTCCGATCCTTCTCTCCTACCAATTACTAGTAGGCATACTTCGGCAGTGTGGTCTGATTTTAAGAGAAAGAGAGTTGGGGATGTGATAAAAGCTGAGTGCAACCATTGCTCCAAGCTACTTGCTGGTGGGTCAAAAGCAGGAACTACTCATTTGAAAGATCATATAAAAATATGTCCAAAGAGAGTATGTCAAGATCTTCGACAAACAAGAATGTTTGGTACAAAAAAAAACTTGAATGATAAGAATGACACGATGACATTGGCTCCTTACGAATTCCACCAAGAAGATGGAAGAAGAGACTTGGCAGAGATGATTATTTTGCATGAGTATCCAATTAGCATGGTTGAGCATATTGGTTTTAGAAAATATAGCAAGACACTCCAACCTGGATTTAAAGTGCCGTCTCGCAACACAACTAGAAAAGATATTATGAAAAGATATGAGCTTGAGAAGGAGAATGTTGCAACCTTGTTGAGGAAAGCAAAGGGTAAGATTGCCTTAACTACTGACATGTGGACAGCTGACAACCAGAGAAAAGGTTATATGGCGGTCACCTCACATTTTATTGATAATACATGGAAGTTGCAAAGTCGGATCATAAGGTATTGTTTTCTGGTTACTTATAACTTGTTTATTTTTTTTTGGTTGTCTTTGTATTGCTATAGTTTTTTGTGTGAATTTTAAAATCATAAGAATTATAAGTTGTGATGATGGATGATAATAATGAGCCCATATATCCACAATAGTATTGAATAGACAAATAATATATGTTATTTTCATTGGTTTTGGTAGGTTTTTATATGTCCCCGCCCCTCATACTGCTGAGGTTCTTGCTGATGCTTTGAAAGAAAGCATTCAATCATGGAATCTTG